GAGTTTATCTAGAGTATCACAGCGTCATCGTATGTTTATAAATAAAGCCGCATTACGCTTGGAGTGAAGTGACCAATTCTTAGAGTCTGTCTTATTTTGATGATTCCGAAAGAATTCAACCTTCTTGATTCATTGGATATGACTTTATACTACTTATACTTTGTAATTTAGAGATAAAAAATCTTTTGTCATAATTTTTTGTTGTATTTATGAAAATTTCTAGATGATTTCAGCTTCAGAGGGCTGAAAAATCGTATAAAATAAAAATAACGATTTTTTCATTCATGGAATACTACAGAATTGTACGATAATCGACTCCACAATTTAGGAAAAAAAATTTTTCAAAATAAATCAGGGAAAATTTAGGTTTATTCTCCGCTACAAATCACACATTTTTTCTGAATAAAATTCTTTCATACAAATCGATGGTACTAAAATAATAATTCTTGAATAAAAGTGTTTTTTTCTAATCTAATCATGGAAAAACATTCTGCTACCTTGCTTTTGAAAGCTTTTGAAATAAGCTTCTAAATTCTTCTTTTAGATTTATCGTAGAAATTTTTGTCATAACAATGTTCCGACTTAAAAGTGGGTAAAAATTTTTTGATATTTCACTTACTTTAATATATTGATAAAATATGGAAAAAAATTATTAATCGATACGAATGGAAATGTACCTCAAAGTACTTTCCAGTACTTACAAAATGAGTTACCGAAGACTTCTATAGGATGAATACTTCCTTAGTAACAAAACTTTTAATTTTATGTAATTTTTCTCTAGGAGGGCAAATAAATATGGATGGCAGTATACAGGGTGTTCCAGACCACCCGTACACCCCCTCTAGAATCCAAAATAATGGATTAATCAAAAACTGCTTCAGACAAAAGTTGCTGGGCTTCGAGGGGGACATATCCGTACGACCTTGGCTTTGACCTTGGAGGTCATGTTCAAGGTCATTTCAAGGTCAACTTTGTTTTTTTAAATAGGAACCCCCATTTTTGACCCCGGATTCGGAAAGAGCGGGAAATTTTAAAAGATCAAGGTTCTCAATTTATAACATTTTTCTCATACAAGTCTTTTTTTTCAAAGTCAATGAATATACTCGAATTTACGGGTTGAAATGTCTCTATAAGTTCCGCGGCTTCTAAAAGTTCGAACATTTTTTGATCTATTTCTAAGTCTTTTTGTACAGTTTCTATACCGGGTATATGCAATGCAGCAGAGGCTAACGATTCGGTACTTTCATTGTGTGAGTCCTTCTCATCCGGATTGATTAAAGAAATAGTTTCATCTATTTTAACATTACCCGTTGTCTAGTATGAATTAATGAGTGCACACAATGTGTCTAATTGTTAAACGATAAGCTCTACATGTCGGATTTGGATTGAATCCATTTCTTCCTCGAATCTTCGAATGTATGTTCAACGCTATCTTGATTACAGAGGCCAGTTGCTAACTCAAAAGATGGACATTCGCTTTTTACGTTTCTATACAATTATAATAAAGCTGTCGCGGTCAAAGATAAACCCGTAAAACACGGTAGTCTCGTTTTTTTTCCGATTTACTACTTTTATTCGCATGTACAGTTCGCGTTGTCCATTTTTTCGACGATTCTATAAAATCTACATGACACTTTTCAATTTTTGAATTGCGATTAGAGAGTGGATGCTCGGCGGTAAACTCGCGTGAGCAGCTGAGGCGTAACTGCTTATTTAAAAGATCGCGCGCCCCTTCTCTCTCTTAATTGTTCGAATTAACGCGCGAGAAGCAGCATCGCGAACGGATCGATTAATTAAATCGACTACCGTTGCAGAGTATAAAAAGCATGGAGGAATATTCTAAAAAATACGATCAGATTGAGGGTCTTGAAGATATGAAGGATAATAATAGAATTTCAAAAATAGCTAGATATGCTTTGTTATTTTGATTAGATAGCATTAATGCTGTTAATCCTTGGCGTCAAATACTTTCAATCAGATTTAATTCAAGTGGGGCTAGTGCTGATGATTTATTACAAATTTTACATAAAATATTAACTGCTTTATTCAGAATAGGAGTTTTAGTCAAAATTACCATGTGCGATCAAGGTTCAAATAATGTAAAATTGTTTTATAAAAATTTAAAAGTAACTGTAGATAAGCCTTTTTTTTATCATGAAGAAAAATTAGTTATCGCAGCTTGTGATTGGCCTCATCTCATAAAACGATTACTTTATCAACTAAGAGTTCATAGATATATTTATATTGATAATAATATGATTATAGCTTTTAGTGATATAGTAAGAACGTACGAAATCCATAAAACGAACGAATCGTCAAATTTATTAGCATTTTTAAATGACAAGCACTTTAATCCTAGTACCTTTGAGAGTATGAAAGTCAGTTTAGCTTTTCAACTTTTGAGTTAAAGAGTAGCAGCTGCGATAAAAACTGCTGGTAAAGCTGGTGAGCAAGGCATTGAAAATGGACTAATATCAGAAACATGGAGACAATCGGCAGATTTTGTGAGGAAAATGGACACTGTTATTGATGCCTGCAATTCCTATAAAATAAACAATGTTAATACTCAAAAGCATCCACTCTCTAATCGCAATTCAAAAATTGAAAAGTGTCATGTAGATTTTATAGAATCGTCGAAAAAATGGACAACGCGAACTGTACATGCGAATAAAAGTAGTAAATCGGAAAAAAAACGAGACTACCGTGTTTTACGGGTTTATCTTTGACCGCGACAGCTTTATTATAATTGTATAGAAACGTAAAAAGCGAATGTCCATCTTTTGAGTTAGCAACTGGCCTCTGTAATCAAGATAGCGTTGAACATACATTCGAAGATTCGAGGAAGAAATGGATTCAATCCAAATCCGACATGTAGAGCTTATCGTTTAACAATTAGACACATTGTGTGCACTCATTAATTCATACTAGACAACGGGTAATGTTAAAATAGATGAAACTATTTCTTTAATCAATCCGGATGAGAAGGACTCACACAATGAAAGTACCGAATCGTTAGCCTCTGCTGCATTGCATATACCCGGTATAGAAACTGTACAAAAAGACTTAGAAATAGATCAAAAAATGTTCGAACTTTTAGAAGCCGCGGAACTTATAGAGACATTTCAACCCGTAAATTCGAGTATATTCATTGACTTTGAAAAAAAAGACTTGTATGAGAAAAATGTTATAAATTGAGAACCTTGATCTTTTAAAATTTCCCGCTCTTTCCGAATCCGGGGTCAAAAATGGGGGTTCCTATTTAAAAAAACAAAGTTGACCTTGAAATGACCTTGAACATGACCTCCAAGGTCAAAGCCAAGGTCGTACGGATATGTCCCCCTCGAAGCCCAGCAACTTTTGTCTGAAGCAGTTTTTGATTAATCCATTATTTTGGATTCTAGAGGGGGTGTACGGGTGGTCTGGAACACCCTGTATATATATGTGTGTGTGTGTGTGTGTCTAATAGCAACAATATTTACTTATGGTCTCTATACGTAAGACAAATTGTAAATAAACTTAGAGTATTAATAAAAAAGGGAAATATAATATCGAGAGTAAAACGAACCATGTTTCAATGATATTTTGTATTGCTGTTCTATCATAACCGGATTGATCACTGTACTTTCAATATTGCCATACAGGCTTCAACTGTAACGCTTGAATAAAGTAAATAGATCGATCGCTCGCTCTCTCTCTCTCTCTCACTTTTATTTGCTTTACTTTTCCGTGTTCTTGTCGCTTTCTGCGCTATGCTACTTCCTTTCTTGCTGCACCGTTATAGCTTCTTAAATAAACAACAAATCGTGAAAAGGATGTAAGGGTATGTAAATATGCACAAGCTAACCTGGTTACTGTGATCGATCGAAAAAAATGACAAAGACGAGGCATAGCAATTCGCTGTCACAACTTGAAAAATAAATTATAGTTATCAAGGTAGGGTGAGTTTCTATAGAATTTATTGATTAAAAAGAATAGGATATTTTCATACTGTAGCGGCAAAGAATACTTACTTCTAATTTTTTTTACATTGTAACGAGCCGGCTCGTTAAGGGAAAAATCAACTTGATAGAGGGCCAGCGCGTGTCGTGCGCGGGCCAGCTGCGCAGAAAACCGCGCGCGAGCGGAGAGAAGAGAGAGAGGACCGTGAGGGGTGGGGGTAGGCGCGAGCGGACATTCACGTGTGAACCGGCGAAAAGAGCGGAAGGATACAAAGGAAGAACACTAAGTACGAGAGAAAAGAGAAGATAAGAAAAGGTAGTGGAAGTGGAAGTGAGATCCAACAGGAGCACCGAATCAAGGACGCGAGGAGCGAGTGCCGTCGCCCAAGTGACACAAGGGTTGACAAGTGTTGCGGGGACCGAAAGAGGGAAGTATCCCCTGGACGACGAAAGCCGGCACGTGAGCTCGACAGCCGGAGAGTCAGCAGCTGAGTTTTACGCCGGATTACAGCGAGAAGAAGTGAGTAATCTCACCGACGTGTAACTATTTGCAGAAAGGTTGCGTTAGATCAAGCGTCCGCGAGTAGGCCCGCATACCTCTTTCTCTCTCTCTCTCGCGGCAAAACCCGACGTGTTGTAACTGCGCGACGCAGCGGTGCGTCACTCGGAAAAGCTCTCGGCCTCTTTCTTTATGGAATGTAAACCAAGCGCTAAATGAAAAGGGTGTCTGCAATTGATCGGCCGCCTTATTCATTGACGTGGGCAAAAGCACACGTGTCCCCTCTGCCCAGCCACCCGAACCCATCGACTTCCCCGCGTGAGCAGTGCGCCGAGCACGCATTCGACGAAGCAATCGGCGTCACGGCCGGGAGGCAAGCCTTCCTTTAAGGAAGTGGCGGTTAACTTCGCAACGTGGGAGCGACGGTAATTTATTTTGTTAACGGATACCGATTTATCACTCTAATAAATCATAACCGTTACAACATGTTTTGTTAAACGTACTTCATTTTTAATATACTGATATCAATTTTTCCTATGGATTAATCATAACTATTTTTTCAGAAATATTGAAATTAGTTTTAGCTGGCCGCATGGGAGAAGCTATAGATTTAACTAGTAAATTATATCCCGGATTACTAGAAAAAGATCTAAATTTGATGTTTGCATTAAAATGTCGGCAATTCGTTGAAATGGTCAATGGTACGGACTCTGAAATATTTCATGGAAATATTGACAATCAAACCAGCGTCATCCAATCTACTAAAGTTTTAGAGAAAACAATAATTATGCGCTGTGAAGAATTAAATTATAATAATATGAATGGACGGAATGAGGAAAATTTTATAAACGGAGAGGTAGAAGACGTTGAAATGGAGGAATTTATTTCAAATGAAATTAAAGACCACAGACTTGTTGAATTAGAACAAAGAAAAAGTACAGTCGGTACTAATGGTTATAAAAAGTTTAATGGGGATGACATTGCGATGGGTGAGTAAAATTTATTTTCTATTATATCAAAGTAAATTTATTTTTCAGACTAAACATTTTGAAGACGTTTCGATATCCTTCTCTATCTCTCTTTCTTCCTGTTCCACGCAATATCCATCGTTTTTTTCGTAAATTAATTTTATTTTTATACAAATTCCATTTTTTTTCTATGATGTCTTTGTTAATTTTTAGGATATGACTATTTATATAAACGGATATCATCTTTATGGATGGTCGAATGTAAATTTTTTTCTTAGGTATTGAATTGCTAAGGAGTTCTTTTGTAGAGTGTGTTCTGACGATCACTCTTGTAATTGGATATTGTCTTTATAAAGTCTTGGTATTTCTCGATGATGTCATACATTATCCCTAAAATTGATTACATCTATAAATATTTAATTGATGTGTCATGGGAATTTTTTTTATTTCCAAATTAAATTTACAATCTGTCTAAAAACAATAAGTAAATGATATTACAATTTCATCAATCAGTTACAATATTACTTGTATCATGACATAAAAATACTTCACCTATAATCTTTACCAGTGCGTTAATACTATACTATTTTATTTTTGTACAAAATGGTGTTAAATATTTTTTAAATCTTGAAGTTGTTGGTGTTGTATGCATTAGTTTCTTTGCGAGGCGAATTTGGATTCTTCGTTATCCTGCTGGTATATCTGCTGGATGCTAATTCTATTTCTTCTTTTACTGACTTTATGTTGACACTTTCCTTATATATTCGTTTGTTATGCGCCACGGTGCATCTGTCATAGTATTTCATTTTAGAATCATTCGATGATATCAGTATTTGATTTATTAGTAGTAGTACCCCAAGGTTGTATGCCGTATGTCCGTACTGGTTTTATAAATGATTTGTATACCATTAGTTTGTTTTAAATTGATAATTTGGATTTTCACCTTAGAAGCTAGTAATATTTTCTCGTCTGTAGATTTAGTTGTTTTCATTTAGTCAATATATAATTTCTCTACGTCAGTTGTCGGTCCAGGTGCATACCAAGATATTTTACTTCATCTCCTGGTGGAATTGGTTGGTTCGTATATGTGTACCAGTGGACAAGAACCTCTCTTTGAGTATTTGTTACTTCTATTGATTTGGTTTCAATAATAATTACCCTATATTTATTAAACCATTTAAGAGCTGAATCCAGGTATTTCTACGTCATGGAAGTGACTGAAATTTCATTAGCATGTGATATTAATATTGCTGTATTATCTGCTTACGTGATGATGTTAATATTTTCCATTTTAGGGATATCATAGGTATATATTAGGTATAGTATGTGGCCAAAATACTTCCTTGAAGGACGCCAGCTTTTAATGGATAGATATTAGCTATTTCATTATTTATTCTTATTTTAAGAGTTTTGAAGCTTAGGTATGATTCAAGTGTAAAGTAGAGCTCTTTTGGTAGGATTTTATTTAGCTTATATAAAAGACCATCGTGCCAGACTTTTTCAAAAGCTTGAGCTACATCGAGAAACAAAGCATTACAATATTCATTTTTTTCAAAGGTGTTTCTTATTTTAGTAGTAACTATTTATTTGATTTTCTGTAGCATGATTATTATAAAAGCTGAATTGTTGTTTAGGTATTATATTCTGATCTTGATAGGTGCAAATTCGCGTGAAAGGAATTCGCCCTGTAAAGTGTAGGCCCTTTTAACAGTCGAATGGCCTCGGACTTGGACGGTTGCCAAGCTCTACGGGCACCCCAGCCCGCCCATGCTTCGATGGTAGAATATTTGGTTGTAAGGGGATTATACGATATTCGTGATCTAGACACTTCAACTTTATTATAGACTATTACCTAAGCAATGAACATCAAAATCACTATTCGCGAGGGAGAATTCGAGTACGGGCATGGTGAACGAAAAAACACATATGGATATATTTCAATTTGGCGTTTTATTACTCGTCATTAAGGGGTAACACTACTGTAAAATTTTCAAAAAATCGATTTTTTTTTTTTTTGCTTAAATGGTAGAGAAACATCTCAAAATTAACGTCCTGAAGTAGTTTTGCAAAAAGAAAATTTTTTCTTCGAGTTATGAGCATCAGACCCTAGGCGCCCCGTTGCGCGCTTGAGCTCACGCAGCGCGCCCATTGCTCCGAAATACGTACCTGCCTCAGGCATCCCTAAAGACCTATTCCTAGTCGTACATAGTACATACTGATACCTACAGATGTCAGTCATTGAATTTTGAACTGCATTGAGTGTATCAGTGTAGCGTCAGTTTAACCGTTGCAGCACGCTCATTCAAACGCCGTGTGTAGATTCCAAGTAATATTCTCGCACAAATTTTGTATTCGATATGGCGCCTACTAAAAAAGGATTTGTTACGAAAAAAGGTACGAAATTAACAATTCAGAAGGCAGGCAGAGGAAAGAGGCGTCCTTTGAATCGTTACGAGTCAGAAGCTGATTTCGAAGGAGTTAGTGCGTCGGCAAAAAAATTGAGAAGAGACAGTACGCGTGATCCGATGGTCGACCCTACTTTCTCTTACTGTTTTATTGCTTTCGTGTCAGTGTTTACAGAAATGTCAAATCATCTTGTATGTGGCATTTGTCATTCACCAGTGAAGTTTTTTCAATCTTCAAAACGTGGCTTTGGGTTCAAAATTGATATTGTCTGTGACGCGTGTGCCAAAAACAGCAGAGATAAAGTGATTGCCAGTATTCCTAATAGTCCATTTATTCGAAATGCATACGACATTAACCGCCGAATAGTATTGGCAATGCGTTTGATAGGAGTGGGACTAAATGGATTATCAAAATTTTGTGGAATTATGGATATTCCTCGGCCAATGTTTCAGTCATGCTACGACTCCATTGTAAAAACGATTTCTGCTGCGACAGAGAGTGTGCGTAATTCAAGTATGAAGAAAGCAGCAAAGGAAGAAGCCGAATTATCTGCTGAAAAAGGCCAAACTAATGGACTAACCGTTTCTGGCGATGGAACGTGGAGAAAACGAGGGTTTTCGTCGCTGTATGGCGTAGTTACGTTAATTGGCTGGTTGACTGGAAAAGTTGTAGATATCGTAGTAAAATCTGCCTATTGCAAGTCTTGCGAGTATTGGAAGAAGAAAGAAGGCACAGCAGAGCATGAAGAGTGGTTACAGTCTCATGAAGCAGAATGCCAAGCGAATCACAGTGGATCTGCAGGAAAGATGGAGGTCGACGCTGGAAAAGAAATGTTTGCTCGATCAATCACTTTACACGGTAAACCTTACGTGTATTACGTCGGAGACGGGGACAGCAAAACTTTCAAAGCTATAAATGAGGCTGATTTTTACAAGGATTTAAATATTAAAGTACAGAAAAAAGAGTGCATTGGCCACGTTCAAAAACGTATGGGCTCTCGCTTGAGAACGCTCGTCAAGTCAAAGAAAGGTTTAGGTGGCCGAGGTAAATTGACAGGAAAATTGATCGACGAGCTTAGTAAATACTACGGCTTGGCGATCCGTCGAAATGCGCATTCGACTGTAGACAATATGAAGAAAGATATTTGGTGCACGTTGTCTCATAAAATGTCTACCGATGAGAAGCCGCAACACGAAAACTGTCCCACCGGCACGAACTCGTGGTGTAAATGGCAACGAGCGAAAGCCGAAGGCACGTTGGATGAGTACACGCATACTAAACCTCTCAGTGATGAGGTTTATGAAACTATTAAACCTATATACGAAGATCTTAGCAAGGACGAATTATTGGATCGCTGCCTGGGAGGTTTCACCCAAAACAGCAATGAAAGTTTCAATGCTCTCCTTTGGTCCATGGCGCCAAAGAATGTTTCGAGCGGATTATGTACACTCACTGTTTGCTCTGACCTTGCTGTGTGCATCTTCAATGATGGATTTTCAATTGTTATGGAGGTGATGACAGTATTAGATATGACAATTGGAGAAAACTGCTACAATTACTGCATGGAGTTCGACGAAAAACGTATCGCACTCTCGGAGCGCTCATTGACCGACGCGGCGAGAGAGGCTCGATTGAGTTTGAGATCGTCGAGGACTGAAGAAGAACGAGAGAACGCCAGCTTGGAAGGAGAACTTTATGGCCCTGGTATCGCTGACTAAAGGTAAAAATCATAAAAAGTTGATATTTCTAACTTTATCAACAAGTTTTGCCATTTTCAAACTTTGAACGCGATTTTCTCGAAACCACTTTTTTCCATACGGCCATCAAAGTTTTTCAGCCAATTTTCCTCCGATCAATATCAAATTTTGACACAGCCTTCGGAACATTATTTCCAAGGGAACCATGTAGGATTTTTTGAAAAAGTTGAAAACTTTTTTATTTAGGCTTGATTATTAGCGATTTTTTTAGCGAAAAAAAAAAATTTTTTTTCAAACTTATACCAATTTGTGAAAATTTGATAATTTTAAAAACGGCTACGTGGTTCCCTCACTTTTAACGCTAACATGAAGAAAAAATTTCGATTTTGTGTTTCAGATGAATAATGACGACAAAAAAGTGATGGCCATGGAGGCCTCTTTAAAAATTCTATCATCGCTCATAGCTCTGTGCAGCCGCCATTTTTTTTTTAATTGCTTCGGAAAAATTATTTTGTGTAGTTAATATCATGTATAATAAAGTTATCAAGTCCAATTTTCAATATAAAACTATGTTTCTTTTAAAAAAATTCCGAAAAAAGACCTTCAAAAAGTGTGCTCTACAGTAGTGTTACCCCTTAATACGTAGAAATCGAAATTTTATTGATTTAATAATCTAAAAGTACGTGATTCGTATTAACTAATAATCATCAAATTCGTACGTAAACACGTTGATATAACTTATGCTCATAGCTATATATAATAGAAAAGTAAAGAAAAATAAGGTTCTATCAGATAATCATTTATTATTATGTCGCACCAAACTACGAGGCTTTATTTATGCAGATTATCAATATGACGTACCCAATGAGGATTCTGGATAGACCAATAATGACTATTATGGCGAGTGTTGCCCATGAC